ACAGACGTGATGTGACTTCCCTCTGTCTTTTCTACAAATATTTTCATGACAATGGCTCTGACGAGCTGCTTTCACTGGTATCCCAACTACATGAATTTAAGCGTGCTAATAGGTTAGAATCTCAGTCCAATCCTTTTCACTGTCAAAACAGTTAAATGTAACCGCTTCTTCTACTCCAACAGCTTCTTCTCTCGCACTTCCCGACAGTGGAACTCCCTTCTCTCTATTTACTTCCCTGATAATTATAATATTCAAATATTCAAATGTAATGTCAATCGACATCTTCTGATGCCTTGATCTTGATCGCCGTACGTCTCTTTATCCTTTCCTCAAACACCCCTCTTACCCTCACTCTCTGTAACCTATAGCGTACTAGTGGCACTCTCGCCTTGAGCCAAAATGCTTAATACACACACACACACACACACACACACACACACACACACACACACACATATATATATATATATATATATATATATATATATATCGATCGAGAATCCCGGTAATACATGCCGCAGTATAAGTGGTGTTTCTTGGACAAGATAGCCTAACGAAGCCCAACTCTATCCAGGTTGTTTTTGAATTCGGAATTTATTTTCCTCCACCCAAGGGTAGAGAACCTAGTCTACCCTGGTATTTCTTCCCCACCCATGATACTTACCCTTATTTGGGGGAGAAGAAGAGTATTCATACCTTTCCCATGGGAATTATTAGCACGTAAGTGAATGTAATGGATCCGACTGGATTTCGAATTCAGCTCTCCGATTCTTCAATCCGAGCCGTTATCCATTACTCCACTTGCCTGTCTACCTGGTTCTGGCTCTGTCTGCCTCTCTCTCTCTTTTTCTCTCTCTCTCTCTCTCTCTCTCTCACTATCTATCTATCTATCTATCTATCTATATATATATATATATATATATATATATAACATCGATTATATATATTAATCACATATATATAACCTCGAGAATTTATATATATATATATATATATATATATATATATATATATATATATATATAAGTGTGTAAAAACTGGCCAAATGTTTTATATATATTTTTTTTATATATATATTTCGGAGCCATTATCAAGGATGTCTTTTTAAAAAAATTAAACTGAATAAGCATACCTTTATGCATCTATAGTGATGACTTTATTTTCCAACGAGTGTCAGCGCACCTTGGCATGTTTCCGTGTTGTTTAAATGGATCCTAAATGATATATATCGAGAATATATATTAATATAATAGAAAATCAGAGAAAAATTATTCAAATATAAACGAAATATGAAGTCGATATATATATATATATATATATATATATATATATATATAGACTTAATTTCTTTAAAATTCTTTCTTTTTCGATAATAACTCAACCATTTTTGCTTTCAAATTCTCAATATATATATATATATATATATATATATATATATATATATATAACGCGTAAATATTACGGAAAATGTAAGGAAAAGGAGAGTTTTACAATTATTTTTATTTCATGGGTGACTTTCTTTGGATTTCGTAATTAATTTCATTTATTCTCAAATGTATTTCCAAGTTATAAAAAGTGTTCTCGTGTGAAAGAATTCGTCGGAAAATTCACGTAAAAAATCTCCTAAAACAATCGCAGTAATAAAAAATTCGGAATCCAAAATTTCAGGATTGCGTGTCCGGATCAGGTCCTGAAAGTTTTTAATTTGCTCACGGAGTCGACCGGATTCCAAAATGGTATGATATGTTGGGCTACGACCTCTCTGAGTAAAGTTGAAAAAGTGTGACACACTGACACACTGACATTCGCATCTATTATATAGATTTATCTGATGAGATTTTCTCCTTAGTGTCTCGACTGCATGAATTAAAGAGTGTTACTTGATTGGCAACTAGGTCTCACCATTTTACCGTTGAACTAACCAGATGCTATTGTCTTTTTCTATTTTTAGTTTCATTTCTTATACTTCTCTATTGTGAAACTCCCTTCCGCTTTCTTGCTACCTAAAATCCCCCAAAATTTAGATGCAACGTCAATTGGTAACTTCTATCTGATTGAATTCTGTTCCTTTATTGTACTTTTCCCCACTTTGTCATAGTGGTATTGTGTAATGATTTTAAAAATAAGAACCACTAATGGTGACAAACCGCCTGCATATAGAGAGAAAATGAATACAATTAATATATAAAAATAGAAAGAGGTGCAAGAAAAGGATGTGTCTTTTCCCATTAACCTATAAAGTGAGATTATTCTGAGATAATTAAAAGTCCTACCAGGATTTATTACTGGTCATCACAATCTTAACAATATAAGATGTGCAAATGACAGTGATGGTAGATGACACAGAAAGGAAACTACAAGAACTCCTACAGAATGTATTGAAAGAAAGCAAGAAGAAAGGACTAAACCCCAGTCGCAAGAAGACAGAATGGTTGTTAGCAAAAAGGAAGAGTCCAACATGCACATTACAAATTGGAGATACCAAAATCGAATAAGTGCAACAATTTAAATATCTGGGAAATTTTTTTAACAGAAGACGGAACGTGAGACACTGAAATCTGAAGGTGCATTTGGGATAGCAAAAGATGCTTTTAAAAAGCTAAGCAAAGTTTTAAGAGAAAGGAAAATTTAGAAACAAAGAAAAGAGTACTGAACTGTTATGTAATATCAGTCCTGTTATTCTACAGATGGGTGCTGAGATCACAATGTACCGAACATGTGAGCAACGACGAAGTTTGATAGAAAAGGCAAACAAAAAGAACATTTATATTTAACATCGGACAGAGACAACTGAAATTTGTAGAGTGCATAATGAGGAAAGGGGGCTTGGAAAATTTGAGGCTCACAGGACATACTGAAGCAAAGAGGCGCAGAGGAAAGCTATCTAGCTATTTTGGTAGAACAGAGTTTATGAGAGATAACAAAAAGACAAAATTTATTAAGAGGTACAAAGGTCGGGAGATTGTTTAAATATACGATCGCAAGTGACAGCTATAAAAATACAAATAAAAAATGATCTAGAATGAAATTAGTTAAAACTTAAAAATTCCTATATCATTTAACGATTTGTTTGGATATTCAAATACATTCATCTTTTGATGTAGCGTTCTGCCAGATTGAGTTAAGTCGAGTAAAATTCAGGAAGTGCACCTAATGTAAAGCTGTTTATGGGAAGCTCATCTCTCAAATGATTTAGAATGAGTTCCATACTTTTTCTTCCAGGTCTTGCATCTGAATATTAATTCATTTAGCCTCCGACTTTTCGCCTTATGAGAGTAAACAGACACGTAAAGCTTTATGCGAATGCCGCCATGATTCGAACGCTCCATCGGTATTCCACTAGGCAAAGGACATAGTCACTCTGCCAGTGTACTTCTGTTTAAACAACGCGCTAATTTTACTTTACAGATATGAATAAAGACCAACTAAATCTTTATTTTTTTAACTTTTTGCTTTAATTTCTTTCTTGGCGTATAAAAAAAAAACTGCAGAAGCAAATATATAAAAAAACAATGCCATATTCGCCGATTATTTTATTTCTAAAGAAGTAACAGATTTTTTATTCAATAATTCGACAGATTTTATCACCTTAAACGTTATCTTTAATTGATACCCATATTAGAGTAGACACTCCGTTTATTTATTAAAGAGTATACTTATTCATGTTCATCTACCAGCCTGAATTTTCGAGAAGTCTTATTAAAGAAATATATGAAATCTCTAGCAGGATTCGAAACTGCGTCCCCCTTTATATTCTATTGCATATCTCACCTAAAAGGCGAGGGGCGCAGGTTCGAATTCAACCAGAGAGCGCATATATTTCTTTAATAGGATTTCTCGAATAGAAGAAAATAAATAAATATACTGTTTAATAAATAAACGGGCGTCTATTCAAATATGGTTATCCACTAGAAATAACTATTATTTTATGTAAAATTCCTGCAAATATAGACAATAAAAAAGAATGCAAATCGTTGCATTGATGCAAATAAAAATAATGTCGAATCTTATAATCATAATGATATATATATATATATATATATATATATATATATATATATATATATATATATATATATATATATATATATATATATATATATATATATATATATCCAGCTCTTATCTCAAATAACAGCTTAAAAGAGACTGTTTGACTAACACAAGGAATGTTAAAAAGATAAAAAAACAAATGAAAACTACAGACAAAAGTTCATTTTCTCCATCAAGACATTCATTTCTGTAGTTTAGTGCTACCAGCAAGCAGAAATATTTCTCCTCCCGATGATGGCCATTTCGGTCGAAACTAGTCGAGGAATCTAAATGGAATAATAATAAAAAAAACGAAAGAATATTAATCTACAAACCCAGTGTGTCTAAAGATTTTAATTTTTTAATTTTTAATTTTCTTAATTTTTATTTTTTATTGTTCAATATATATATATATATATATATATATATATATATATATATATATATATATAAAGAAATTACGCTAGTTGTACACATTAAAATGGAATTCTGGTTCATCGTTTGCCTGGCCGGAACTATGTATTGCATTATATAAAGATCTTCCATAAACTGTGTTATTTGCGATGCATAGTAGATTGAAATCATTTTGATGATAATATGTTTCTTAGAATTCCATTTAAAGTAATGGGGGTTTAAAGGGAAATATATACTTATGGGATTAAGTTTTTAAATTTACATAGCAAAAATGATGTTCTAATGTTCTTAACGGATTGAAATGTTTTATTGTATGGAAGGCATGAAATTGGAAGAAGATTCAAGCAATTAAAAATTGCATATATATGCATTTCGTGGACGTCATCGTGGTAGTTGCGTATTTTCAATCAATGAGTGTGTTTTTGTTGAACTCCGGGAATTTGAATTTTCAGATTCATTGTAAGCATATTTTCATCACAGGATATATTGTCACAACATGGTATTCTTTCAAGGTCGTTTCCTCATCTGGAACTGTGTGATATTAAGTCTTTTAGAATACTTTCTTTCTTTCTTTCTTTCTTTCTTCGTTACATTCTTTTTATATCAGTCTGTGCTATTATCTCTCTATCTATCTATCTGAGCTAGGTAGCGCAGTCTGCTTCTTTCTATTCCTGCTCTTATTTCGTAAATCTAGAACAAACATAATGAGAGAAAGAGCAAGAGAGAGAGAGAGAGAGAGAGAGAGAGAGAGAGAAATCAAGTGAGGGAGAAAAAGAAATTGAGAGAGCGGGAAACAGAGAAAGAAAGAGAGAGAGAAATCCAGTGAGAGTGAGAGAAACTAAGGGAGAGGGAGACAGAGAAAGAAAGAAAGAAAGAAAGAGAGATAGGGGGAAGATTTTTTAATACCAGTATTTAAAGTTGGGCAAAGCTTTTCTGGAAGAAATATCAGCAATCGAAATTACAGTTTCTGCCTGAGCTCGAACATCGATCTTATATATATATATATATATATATATATATATATATATATATATATATATATATATATAGCTAACTGAGTCGAATATATATATATATATATATATATATATATATATATATATATATATCTAATATGAGTATATATATATATATATATATATATATATATATATATATATATATATATATATATATATATATATATATAATATATATATATATATATATATATATATATATATATATATATATATATATATATATACGCAGGTTTGGTTAAAGATCACACGAAAGTTCATTGTTAAGTATGTTTTATTTATGATAGCAATCACGGATCATTCTGATTCCAAAAAAGTTATAACATGTCTATGTAGAGCAAGTGTGGTCTCAGTTAGAGTGGTTTCAAACACACGGACGGACTGACAGAATTTGCCGTTTATCTATTAAGATATAGGCAAATTATAGCAAGGAAAATGGCGCGTGTTTACTAGTATCTTAATATAAATTTTTATTACATTATTTCATTTAAATTGTACATTTTCCTTTACTCCTAAATATAGGTACCTCCACGAAAATGCTAAAACATCAGCATACCTTGATGAAAACATACTCCAAACGTAATGAAAACATAATTTTATCGTCAAAATCGTTGGTATTATTAAGACAAAGGATTAGAGTATTTTTTTATTACTTAATTAATTTTTTACTCCTCTTTAAGGCATTCGAAAATTTGTTTAAAAAGCTTGCTTTTCTTGTATCAGACGCTCCATTTTATTTAGACAGTATTTCATTTCGTCCACCGGCCTGAATATTCGGATCCAGCCAGAGGGCGCATTTTTCTTTATTTATTAATCCGACAAATTTTCTTGCTTAAACGTCATTTTGAGGCTATCCACTAAAAATAACGTTTAAATAACAATAATGATGATGATAATAATAATAATAATAATAATAATAATATATATATATATATATATATATATACACACACACATATATATATATATATATATATATATATGCGACTTTAGGCATTATAAAATACAAAAACTGCACTGATTTCTGTAAATATTTCTGGCAGTTACAGAATGGTGCTAATACACCTTTTCTCACCTCGCAAGAGCCTATCTTTCAACGGGAAAGTCAATAGATGTAACTTATGTCTTGTTGAGAAATTAAATATCTTAAAACACTTAAATAAACCTAGCTTATTAAACAAGAGAAATGAATTGATGATTACATGGAGCCATAAAAATAAATATCTGCTTACATATGTTGAACCAGGTTAATTTTTAATGTAAATTATGTTTTTTTAAAAGAAGTAATCTCCTTTTATGCAGAATATAAAAAATTAATATTCACAACTCTAAAATAATTTTTATTTACATATATATACAAGTCCCGCTTGTTTGAAATGCAAAATATATTTTTAAATTAAAAAAAAAAAAATTCCAGTATAATACATATATGCGCCAACATTACGATAACGAGATATTTTTTTATTAAAATTTAATTTATGTAACTGTCAGTCTATATTCGGCACCTGAAATTGCGCTTTTCATGAAACCCCGGATCACGCTTTCGGTGAGGGATAATGTGTATATCTATCTATCTATCTATCTATCTATCTATCTATCTATCTATCTATCTTGTTAGGAACTGGCAACATGCGGATGTGAACCCCAGATTTCAGAGAGAATGCAAGATAGTAGACGTAAGATCAACAAGATGCACTTATCTGATACTGGTTATCACTTCGATTATTTATAAATCCCGAGTTCGTAAGTTGAACTGTTCATAACAGGAGATTTTTTTTTACAATATCCGAATGAAAAACTAATTATTCTTTTTGCAATATAAACTGGGAGATTCCAGAATTTTACTTCTATTTCGTTCCACATCTATTAATCTAAATAAGTCTCGGACGAATTCTTCAGCAATAATATTTTCTTATTCGGTACACATCTAGTAAACGAATAAGTCCATAGGCCCATTTCTAATGAGCGAACGATGGGAATCAATTTATTCGTGACTTGAAATAGTCGGAGATATTCCGGAAACTGAAAATATATTTAAAAATTCACACTTGGCGACGCATGTCACGTGGGATTGGGTGACCGACGTTTACTTATTTTATTGGGAGCTTTAACTTTCAGGTTGTTAAGAGAACCCAGATTCCATCTCGTCACCTCTCAGTCTAGACAAGAAATAAAGGAAGAGAAGAAAGAAAGAAAGAAAGAAAGAAAGAGTAAACACAAAGAAAGCGTATCCTTGATAGATTGATAATACATTTGATTTTAATTTAAATATTGAGGACCATGTCACAATACACACACACACACACACACACACACACACACACACACACATATATATATATATATACTTAGTTGTATTGATGTGAGTTTGTGATCCTAGGTTTCACGTCTTTGCGATCGTCAGACAAATAGTTTGTTTGACGACCAGAAGGGCGGGAAAACCAGAGTCACAAAATGACATCAATACAACTAATTATGTTAGCTCTATTACTGATATTGAGCGCTTTCCAATAATTACTCTATATATATATATATATATATATATATATATATATATATATATATACATGCGCGATACTTCTTGATATATATATATATATATATATATATATATATATCCATTACATGCTAATATCCTTGGGAAAGGTGTGAATACTCTTCTCTCTTTAGCTATGGGTAAATAGCAGAACAGATTGGATGGTAACTGGTCTGGGAGAAGGACAACTCTGAATTCAAACCCGGAGCGGAGCCCCTAAGGCAGATCGACGGCACTTTGTGCTACTTTCCGGCAACTCGGGTAGCCGTGCTGGTACCAAACTCTATTGGCTTATCTTCTCCTTTGGACTTTGCTAGTTCTCAATATATCCCGCGCCCAGGCTCGTAGCACCGCGCTACTCCATCGTCTCTCGAGACGTACGGATGTAGATGTAGATGACGATATATATATATATATATATATATATATATATATATATATATTTTTGGAGATAGATAGAGAGAGAGCAAGAGAGAGCGAGAGAGAGAGAATGAGTTTGAGCAATAAAGAGAAATAGAGATGGATAGAAAGACTAAGAATATTTTAGTATTGCTAAAAATGTTCATATAACGTGTATGTGAATAAAAATTTCTTAAAATTGACAAAAAATATATTTTACGCCAGATGACACTGGATGTTAATCTCAGAACAGACTATATCTACAAGAGATGATTTTTTTTTATTTCAACATTATGAAACACTTTCAGAATCACCTTTTTCTTTCAGTCGCTTCTAATATTTCTGAAATATCGAAATTCTTCCAATCCGATTTTCAGTCCAACCGTTTCTTCGTAAAAATGAAAGGGATTTCCGAACAGGATAATTATTTGTTTCTTTGATTTCGTTCAAATAGATACAACTAATCAGAAGCGAAGTGAAGTCGGCTACTGACACATCGATATTATATCGAAGTGTTTGCTTCACTCGCCGAATACGGCAGCTGTGAAGATATTTGTCTCAGTTAATCTGTGAACAGGATGTTTTGCAAAGAAGAAAAACAGAGCAATTCAAGATGTTAGAAAATGGTGTATTAATAAGAACAGCAAAGACGAATGCTAAAAGGACTTTCGCTTTGATTAGTTTTGCCAAGAAACACGTGTAGGAGGTGTCAATGTATTAAGAATAAATCCGTTTAACACTGAAAATAAAATGAATCCAAATATTTTTTGTTCTTTGAAATCCAACCAAAAAAAAAAAAAAAAAAAGAAAGAAAAAGAAAATTAAATAATTCCAAAAGTCATGGTTTAAATAATGAATATTTAACTAGTAAACAAAGTTTGTAACTATTTGAATGCAAACAAAGTGAGTAAACATTTAACGAGTAATTAAAAATATATTTTATAGTTTATAAATAAATAATAAACAAAGACTTTAAATATATGAATAGAAAACAAAGCTTTTCATTTCGTTACATTTATCAAAAATCTTGTTGTTTTCGTTATCCTATTAGTTGGTGCAAAAATAATGACGTAATAATGTCGTTTTTTGACCTATTTTTTAACGTCAAAAACGACATTATTACGTCATTATTTTTGCACCAACCTAATAACACGCGCGCGAGCACACACATATAGGGTGCGATGGATAAATTGCCGCCATTTTATGTTTTTAATTTCGTGCATGCGCGTTGTTTTTTTTTGTTTTTTTTTAGGTGTTAGGCACCGTCTGTGAGAAAAAGAACAGCATTATGCAATTCACTTCGCCAGAAATTTAGATATAGCATGCTGTAGTACTTGCTATTCGCACTGGAAGCTCCAATAAGAACATTTCAGAGTGTTTGGGTGTCAATCCGAGAACAGAGTAGAGGATTCAGAAAGAGTTGGATGAGTTTAATGGCGATTGTGGAGGTACGGCAGCTCGGAAATCTCACTCTGGTCGTTCTGCAAAGAAAAGAACTTCCGAATTTGTAAGTGTGGGCCCCGGACTCAACACGGAGGTCTACATAAAGTTCCTTAAGGGGGTAGTGCTGCCCTGGGTCAAAAGGGTGGCTGCTAGAAACCCTATGTATGGCAACAGGACTCTGCACCATGCCACACAAGCAAGAACACCTAGTCATGGCTGTCAGATAAATTCTGCAACCACACCACTCCTTAAATCTGGCCACCTATCTCCACAGACTGCACCCCGCTCGTGATTATTATGTGTGGGTCGCAGTTGAGCGAGAGACCAACAAAACTCCTTGTAGCACCAAAGATAAACTGAAGGCAAGGATTGTGGCAGCATTCATCAACTTAAATAAGGAGACCGTCCAGAAGAGATGCAGGAGATTCTGAAGTCGTCTGGAGGTCGCGATTGAAGCCAATGGCGATATTATTAAATCAATTTACTCTTTAGTATTTCAAGATATTTTTGTGCAATTTAGGTAAATATATCTGTTAAAATGAGATGTCAGTGTTACTTTCATTTTTGTGTAATTTAGACGACAATTTATCCATCGCACCCTCTATATATATGCGGAAATGTTGGAGATGCCTGAAAACGGTCTAACCCAAGCCTTGTGATGTAAAATTGGGTAGAAGGATCTATTTACAACACATCGATGATTGTATTAGCACAAACTCTTATGCCATTATGGTCAATGTTTTGACCATCCTGGGCTTGTTTCAATAGATCATCCTGCCAGGTAATGTTCTCTCTCTCTCTCTCCCTGAAACTCTTACAAATGTGCGCTTAGCATACTTGCAGTGTCGTTGCAGGAGTCTGCAATAGACACCGGACAGGTTGGCTCAATTCTCTATAAGGAAAGACTGCAAAGAACATCGCTTTCCCAAATAGATAGATAAATCCATATTTACATGTGAAAATTACTTCCTAACCAATAAAAATAAACTAATTTTCGGTCTCATCCGCCATATTTTTGGTCTGAAGGCTTTAATCACTTGACTGCATCTCTTTTGCGTGTGAACCTAATCCTTACCTTTTGAATTTTTTTGCCTGATTACCGTTTCTTTGCCTTGTTTTGTCTTGCATTTATAATTTGTTGTCTTTTTATTCCTTTACTTTTCGTTTACTGAAGACTTTGTTAATTCTGCTCGTTTAGAACTTCGCCAATTACGAGATGCTCAGTTCATTATTATTATTATACATAAGGAACTGTATATCTCGTCACTCTTAACCCCTGGGGATTGTAAGACCGCAGCATCAACATTTAAGTGCCCACATGAAATTTTAAGTCACGGAAAGCAGTACTATATCTATTGTTGTACTTATATTTTATACTATCGGGCGGCATTTAAGCAAGCTCCTGCGGGCCTTCATCACAATAGTTAGGGAGGAATAGATGCTATAGGCAGCAATAAACGGCAGAAGAACTTAAAACTGATCACAGCATTAATATTTAAGCTTAGCTTTTAAAAGTTTACCAATAATTCTTCTGCTGCCACTTAATTTGAAGACAGTTTGATATACGTAGGTCCTTACTTTCCTTACAAAGAATTATGTTCATTTCAAGAGCGACGTTCACAATTAACTTCGGTTATTCCCAAATTTATTTCCAAATTATAAAAATTACTATCGTACAAAAAAAAAAAAAAAAAAGAAAATCGTCGCAAAAAAATCACGTAAAAAAAATCACCGAAAACAATTGCTGTAATGAAAACTTGAGAATCTAGTAAATGTAGCCGTCTCTTCTACTCCAATAGCATCATGTCTCGCACGTCTCGCCTGTGGAACTCCCTTCCCTATTCCAGTTTCCCTGAGAGCTATAATCTCCAACTATTCAAATGTAATGTCAATCGACATCTCCAGTTGCCTTGATCTATCCACTATCCTTCTCCTCATCCTTTCCTCTATCCCTCCTATCTGATCTTGCTACAAATCTTTTGTAACCCCTTGCGTCCTAGTGGCTTCCCGCCTTGCTTGGGGTGAAACGCTTAAAAAAAAACAAAAAAAAAAAAATCCAAAATTTCAGTACTGCGGGTTCGGATCCGGCCCGGAATCTTTTTAATTTACTCACGGAATTGGCCTGATTCCCAAATGGTATGATATGTTGGGCTACAGCCTCTGGGAGTAAAATTGTAAATACGGACAATTTTCAGTAATTTCAGAACCGTATTTTTTCATCTGAACACTCACGAATATATATATATGAGACCTCTTATGTAGCGTGTTGGAATCATATTTTTAAATAAATAATTATATATATATATATATATATATATATATAGTGCTGTTCGATAAAAGAGACTCACCTGATTTTTTACTTAAAATTTTTTTCGCCTATTGTTTTTGGGGGCAAACTAATTAATAATCTTACTAATATAAAGACCCCTTCCCGACCACCTAGTAAAAAAGTTTACTCACCCTAATGTATTCTATTGATAATTATAATTTTGGATATAAATAAGATTTAGGGGAAAACTGTGCAAAAAAAAAAGTGACTCAATTATTTCCTGCAACTCGTAATCAATAGAAACATAACCGAACAGCTTTAAATAAAGAATAATAGAGGTATAATTTATTTTTAATAGGTAATGTAGTTCGAAATATTTAATAATCTATGGGTCCTCCTTTATTTTGAATAACTTTTTCAACCCTTTTTGGCATTGACTTGATTAGGTTCTGGCAAATCTCATCTTTAAGCATTGAATTTCATTCGGATATGAAATTTACAATCAAATCCTCTTTGTTGTTCAACTGCTTTCTTGAGAGCCTGTACTTTATAATGCTCTATAAGTTTTCTCTGGGGTTGAGGTCAGGAGATTGGAGCGGGCATGTCATAACACTCACCTGCTTCTCATCAAAGTATTCCTTCATCAATTTTGATTTGTGACAGGGAGCATTATCCTGCATAAAAATGAGCTTGGTGGGGTCGATTTGCACCCTTTCAGCAGAAGGGAGCAGACAAGACTCTAAAATTCTCTTATACTGCTCGCGCCTGAGGGTCTTTTCAATAAGTTTTAAGAAACCAGTTCCATGAAAAGAAAAGTAACCCCAGAACATTATACTGAACGGATGCTTGACAGTACTTACTTGTAAATTCAAAGAGCTTTCAAAGCTTCTTCTTCGGATTTTAGATCGCTTATCCTTTGAATTTAGCTCAACTTTCGTTTCATCGGAGAAGAGAACATTTAGTAAAAAAAAATCACTTTTATTGAACAGCACTGTGTGTGTGTATATATATATATATATATATATATATATTTATATATATATATATATATATATATGAGATAATGATATATAATTTCCTATATATATTAAGAACAATTTATGTAAAATTGAAAAAAAGATTTTCGTGTGACGCGCTTCGTCTTTTACGAAATCATCAGACTAAATTTGTTACGTTGGCGCGACTACACATGCCCAGGAACGAGGATATATCAATCAGTGCTGCCGCCCTTGGTGTAGAAGATAGAACTAATTGATTCATCAATAACTCCGTATCCTTTGTTTAGTTAAGATAGAAAAGGTAAGAATGAATGAAAAATGAACGATAACAGGAAAGAAAGAATAACTAAATATAAAAGTCTTATGTTAGAGAGCAGGAAAATATATGGGAAAATAGAAAGAAAGAAAGAAAGATAGAAAAGTTGGGAAATCTAAAGAAAGAAAGAAAGAAAGAAAGAAAGAAAGAAAGAAAGAAATGTTGTAAGTTAACGCTGACAAAGACAAATAAGAAAAATAAAATAAACAAGAAAGTAACAAAGAAAAAAATAAAGAAAGAAAAGAGTAAATAAACAATAATTGTAGGTTACGGGAAAGAAAGAAAGAAAGAAAGAAAGAAAGAAAGAAAGAAAGAAAGAAGTACCTTCTATTTCACGCAACAAAAATAAAATAAAGGAAAGTAGTTGTTATAAAACCAATATTCATCTTTGGATGCAATTTATTTCCTTATCAATACACTTAATGCAGTAGGAAATATCAACAATATAGATCGGACGATACACGGAGCTAAAAATTCAGCTAATAATTACGTGTCAGGATATGGATATATCGATGCAGAATGGTAAATATATAGACGTACAAATACGTATTCGCACGCAAAACCTGGAAGCACTGATAAACGATGCCGAAGTGTTTTCAAAAGGCGGGAAAAGTAGCTGTAATTAAGTTAACACGACTGTTAAAGCCAATGTGTTAACTGGTGTGTTGACAATTGAGCACCAAACTAAATGAGGCGTATGAGTTGAAGAAAAGGCGCGTGAAGGGCCACTGTCTGTGAGAGTTCGTGGTCAGGTCTTACTTCTTTCCCTGATTGAGGGTCAGCAGAAAGGCACTAGCTTCCCTCGTTCGGCGCGCAGAGATTATTAGTGTCGTGTTAGACACGCTGTAAGAATAACAAATCAAGCGGACATAATTAGTCTAAACACCGTCTTGGTTTTGGTCCTTGTTCATAATAAGAAGTTGTCGAGGTGAAGAAAGATGGCAGCCAGAGTGTGATTACAGCAGTCATTAGATGTTCCCTCAAAGCTTGAAGTGAAGGAAGAAAGGACAGTGTAAGAGGAAAAGACGAGAAGAAATGATAATAAGGAAAGTAAAACAAAGAATGTCTCTCTTTTATTCATTGATTTCGAGGGGAAAAAAGTAGAAAAGGAAATTATAAGGAAGTAGGGAAAGAAAAGAAATAGAAACGAGAAAAAAAATTTTTTTTATTGACAAGTAATTATGGGATGGAAGTAATTATGGGATGGAAGTAATGAGTATAACAAAAAAGAAATGGAAGAAAAAAATTGATACATTTAACAAAAAATTAAATGATTAATAAATAAATAAAATAAGTAATTAAATAAATTAAATAGATTTGGGAAAAATTAAAAATAAACAAAATGGAGATATAAGTACAAAAAAGAGTTTTCTAACAATAGAAAGAAGGAGTAAATCACGTGATAACAAAAAAGAGTAGAGAGAAGAAAAAAGAAAAAAAGGGGAAGAAAAAGAAAGTTGAATAAAGAAGGAGTAAAAGAGAGGAAGGAAGGAGGAAAGAGAGTTAAATCTAAAAAGAGGAAAAAGGAGGAAAAAGAGAATTAAATAAAAGAGGGGAAAAATAGTTAAATAAAGTGGGGAGGAGGAAAAAGATTTTAAATAAGTAATATGAGGAAATAGAGAGTTAAAAAAAGTAGACGGGAGGAAAAAGAGTTAAATAAAAGAGGAGGAAAAAGACAGTTAAATAAAGAAGAGGGAAAAGAGGTAAATAAATAAATATAGGAAAGGAGAAGAAAAAAGAGAGTAAAATAATGAAGGGGTAAAAAGAGAGGTAATGGCAATAGTAATATTAATCGATTCATTATAAGGAAACATTCGACATTCAATGACAGACCAGCCAAGAAAGAGCAATAGAGGGGTAAAGAAAGGAAGAATTATTGAGAGGTAAAGACGGGAAGATTAATAGAGAGGTAAAGTAAAGAAGCTCAATAAAGAAGTAAAGAAAAGAGGAACAACAGAGAGGTAAAGAAAGGAAAAGCAATAGGGAGGAAAAGAAAGGAAGAGCAATAGAGAGGTAAAAGGAGTAATATAGAGGTAAAGAAAGGGCAATAGAGAGGTAAAAAGAGGAAATGAGGAGTAAAAGAAAGGTAAAAAAAGAAGGATTAATACAGAGGTAAAGAAAGGAAAAGCAATAGGTAACGAAATGAGGACCAGTAGAGAGGTAAAAAAGGTGTAATAGAGAGGTAAAGGAAGGAAGAACTCTAGAGAGGTAAAGAAAACTGGAGTAATAGAGAGATAAAGAAATGAGAAATAACAGAGAGGTAAAAAAGAGAGAGCAATAGTGTTAAACATAGGAAGGGCAATAGAGATGAAGAAATGAAAGATAAAGCATTTCAAATGTAAATAGAAATGTGAAGAATAACTGAATAGATAAATGGAAATAAAAACGAATAAAATGAAAATGAAGAGATAAATTTTGATAAAGAAGAAGGGAATTAAGGCAATACATTTAGTAGGTTGAAGGACAGGAAGAAAAAACAGAAAAAAATATGCGAGAAAGAAAGGAAGAAATGGAGAAAGGAGAAAAGAAATGAAAGGACAATAAATTGGAGGTTAAAAGCCAGAAAAAGATAATTAAGAGGAAGAAAAAAAGGCCATTTTTGTGAGTTAAAGATTAGAAAGACAAATATTGAAAAGGAAATAATTTTTACGAAAGAGAAAATGAAAGAAAGAAAAATGGAAAAAAAAGATTCAGTACGAAAAAAATCGTATGTTAAAAACCAGAAATACATATATTAGAAACATAAATAAAAGAAAGAAAGAAAGAAAGAAAGAAAGAAAGAAAGAAAGAAAGAAAGAAAGAAGAGGTTGCGAGAAAGAAAGAAAGAAAGAAAGAAAGAAAGAAAGAAAGAAAGAAAGAAAGAAAGAAAGAAGAGGTGGGGGAAATAAAAGAAAGAAAGAAAGAATGGAAGAAAAACGAAAGAAAGAATGGAAGAAAAACGAAAGAAAGAATGAAAGAAGATGTGAGGAAAATAAAAGATAGAAAGAAAGAAGATGTGGGGAAAATAAAAGAAAGAAAGAAAGAAAGGAGAGTTTGGGAAAATAAAAGAAAGAAAGAAAGAAGAGGTAAGGAAAATAAAAGAAAGAAAGAAAGAATGGAAGAAAGAAGATGTGGGGAAAGTAAAAGAAAGAAAGAAATAAAAGAAAAAGAAAGAAAGAAATAAAGGAAAAAGAAAGAAAGAAAGAGGTGGTGGAAATAAAAGAAAGAAAGAAGCGGTAGGGAATATTAAGAAAGAAATAAAGAAAGAAAGAAAAAGTTAGGAAATAAAAGGAAAAAACTGGGGAATATAAAAAAAAGAAAAAAGAGTGGGGAAATACTAAGAAAGAAAGAAAGAAAGAAAGAAAGAAAGAAAGAAAGAAAGAGTTCGGAAATAAAAAAAAGTAAGAATGAGTTCGAAAATAAAAGAAAGTAAGAAAGAGTGGGGAAATAAAAAGAAAGAAAGATCGGGAAATACGAAGAAAGAAATAGAGAAAAAAAAGTCAGAAAATAAAAGAAAGAAAGAAAAAATGAGTGACGAAAGAAAGAACGAAAGAAGGAACGCGAAAGAAAGAAAGAAAGAAAGAAAGAAAGAAAGAAAGAATGAATGGGGAAATACGAAGAAAGAAAGAAAAGAAGAAAGAAAGAGATAGAGAAATGTTGTAGGATAGGGGCTTGAAGAACAATGTAAACCGGACAGAGTCATAAGAAAGGAGGAAAGAAAAGTAAACGGAAGAAAGAAGAAAATTAGCAGGAAGACCTCGAGCCCGTTTCCTTGAGGTCTTCAATTAGGCCAATCAATTGTAACCTCGATGAAGTCTCGTTGAATCCCGCCCCTTATCAACTCTTGTTCATACGGGCAGTCGTTGTTCATGCACGGCTTCCTACAGAGAAGCGATCATTCGCGTACTGAAGCCGGAAAGCAATCGTTTGTAACATGGCCGCCTTTCCTTGCCAGAAGGACATTTTACTTACCGCTTTCTTTGTTCCAGTTCGACGCCGATGAGCGGATAATAGTTAAATAACCATCATCAGATATATATTATGAGTGAAGCAGTTGTTATTTATGCATTTTGTGCCCTAAGAAGTTTACAACCACAAAGTTACTATTCTAAAAGCGAAGTGCTGATTTTGTTCCGGTTTGAACTTAATTTTTACGTTCTCTATGTATAAATGTGGTTAAGAACCATATTTATTTCGATGTAAGCCCCCAAACATAGAGCGAACAGTCTAGTGGTTCTCGAATGAAGTGACCTAGAACAGAAGGATCTAAGAACGTAAAAGAAACTTCACTCGAAACAAATGATATAAGGAAAGAAGAAAAGGGCTTATTTGCCTAATACAATGCGCAAGAACCAATCAAGCTAGAGGGTGTACAAGTAGCAAGTAAGAAGTCCATAAAGGTTGACCCGAGACATGCATAGGTTAAGATCGTAATTAACGGGGAAGTATCTCCTCAGGAGTCTGTTCCACAAGGTAAGAGTTCTCTGGGAGAATTTGTCTGGGTAGAACTTGCTCGTTACAAATGAAATGCAAAAGGGATGAGTGTGTGCAAGTTGGGTAATGGATAGCGGCTCAGATTGAGAAATTGGAGGTCTGAGTTCGAATTCCAGTTGAGTTCGTTACATTTACTTACGTCCAAATACCCTTGGGAATGGTATAAATCCACTGTTTCTCCACCCCCAGCTATGGCTTAATTAGTAAAACCTTTATTATCTCCCCACCCCTAAAAAAGAAAAATTCCTTAGAATCTAAAAATATTTTCTGGCATTAAATAACCTGCATAGGTTTGATAAGAAAACGATTCAAATGATCAAAAAAAAGTTTTACTGGAAATCTTACGTCACTAATACTTGGATAAAAGTTCATTGTGTGGGTTGTGTAATGCATAAACGGCTCGGATTGAGAAATTGGAGATCTGAGTTCGAATTCCAGTCGAATTCGTTACATATACTTAGGCACTAATACCCTTGAGAAAGGTATAAATCCACTGCTTCTCCCTCCAGCATTGGGTTAATAAGTAAGACTTGTAACAGTAAATCATTATTATCTCCCAAGAATTTTTACAATCTAAAAATATTTTCTGGCTTTAAATAACCTGGAAAGGGTTGGTAAGCCGTAGAAAACGAATGAAAAATAGTATTAAGTAACGAAGACCATCAGTGCAACTGAAACACAACACATACATCCATTTTGCCGTTCGATATCTTCTGGACTTCTGACGTGAATATTTATCATGCAATATGAGTAGATAGGTTTGCCTATTATCCGCTTCACACACTGGTCTTTTGAACAGGGGTAGAGTTTTATTCCTTGTTTCCAGCTCAGGCTTGGTTTTCCAGTTCCTTCAAAACTCTACTTCAACTCTATACTTCTAAAGTCTCCGTCTGAACTCTGAAATCTTATTCGCTAATTAAATCTTGACCTCTTAGCTGTCTATCTTTCCTGTTATCTTGCCCTTTCTTACGCTAATACAACTCCGCACAGTAAGCTTCTTCCTTGAGTGGCCCTTGGGCCTTGTATTGAGTAAAAATTAGTAAAAAAAATGTCGAAATATCTTGGAAATCGGTCAGAAAACGTAACAAAAGGCACAACGTATCCCCAAAACAAATCCTTGAACTTATCTATGTCAAGGGAGGCAACGCCACCGAAATTTGAAGTTGGCTTTAGAGAAGATTATTAGTCACCTGAATAGAATAATTAAATGTCACTGTTTAACTATGTTTTAAAGCAACTAAAAAAAACAAAACGTTTGTAAAATTACATTTATACATTCTTTTTATTCCACTATTCTCATTGTTCGGGCTATTGCCCTCATCTTTAATGTTATATTTACGACGTTTCGGGGTTTTACGCTCCGGACTTCTTCGGGTGATATACGTTGAAATTTCGAGCCGAACCCTTTATTTAGTTCACGGGGGTAGAGTTTTCTAGATTCCACGTTCCATGCCTTTAATGGATATCTAAGTTTCAGTTATCGCCTTTCTAGTAACTCAACTCGCCAAGTTTTTTTTTTGTTTTTTTGTTTACCTCTTCTGTGGCCAGGTATTGAACTCACAACTCTTTAGGTCAAGTCACTGGATTACTTCAACCGACGCTTTACCTTCTTTTAAACAGTTAACCCATCTACCCCCAACGACAGATCCATACCGTACCCGTTGTAAATTTGAGAAAATCTGTAACCCCTTCTTGACAGTTTTCTAGTACCCACGATCAAGCGAACTCGGTGTTTGTGACCCCCTTAGGTATCATATTTCTGACCAAGGAAGTTCTGCTGCCTTGATTTCTAGATAACACCTCATATACTAACACTCTACCTTGAGTGGCTCTTGAGCGTTGTGTTGGTTGAAAACTATTTTTAAACAAATAGTATACCCATTGTTAATGTTAATATTCACAGTGTGTTATTTTTTTATGACTGGGTATTAACGGAAAACTACCATACATAGAGGTACCCTGGGTAATTACCGATTCATTTATTATTCGGTGGCGGGAGTTTGATTGGTCTTTAATTCAGCTCTTAATTTAATTTCCCTTGACCTCCTAAAAACGGATCAGCTTTAAAGTGGTTGACTGGCTGCACGTTTTCTCTTGTAAATCCAGACTCCGATGGTTATTCATAATATTTAATCCATTGTATAACTTATGTAAGATTTATTTGCTACTTTACTGCAGGTAAAATAAATAAATAAATTAATCGCACAAGAAACAATTTTTTTTCATCATTATGTGCCCTCAGGACGTAATCGATCATGGCTCTCCGCAATTTCCTGCACTTATAGCTCTTAATAAATGGTGTCTTTTTGTTCCACTATCTACTTAAGCTCTCTAAGTATGTTATAAGTTTTCTTCTGTCCGTCTTGCCTTCAGTTTGTCCTGTGAGTATCAGATTTTCCAAATCTTCTTTCCTCATTATGTGACCTAGAAATTTCAACTCTCTCTTCCTTTTTGTTTTCATTTTCTCTAAAACTTCGTCGTTACTCACATATTATGTCCTTGGTAGTCATAGCACACTTCTGTAGAACCAGATGTTTGTTGCGTTGAATACTCTTTTCTTTGTTTATAACGAAGGTTTTTTTTTTGTTTCTTACCCAAAGATGCATTCCAAAAACTAAGCAGAGTATTAAGAAATAATTAATCCTATGATAAATGACATTATTTAATGAAGAATAATGCGGGTTGGTAATGTCGAGCAGTGATAGTCAGACATGGAATAAGTGCGTGTAAGAGAAAGAGAGGGGGAGAGAGATAGGAGAAAAGACTTCGAGAAAGAGAGAAATATCAAATAATGATATTAAGAAAGATAGACTTAAGTTAAAAAATAGAAAGAGCGCAAAGAAAAAAAAAGGTGGGAGAAATGTCGGAGAGACAAGTGACAGAAGGAAAAGGGTTATAGATAGATGGGACTGACCACGTCTGCACAGGAGTAAATGAGGGTGATAAATGGGTTTTTAGCATTAGATCACACACACACACACACACACACACACACACACACACACACACACACACACACACACACACACACACACACAGAGAGAGAAAGAGAGAGGTGGGGAATAGAAAAAAAGAAATTAATTTTGTACTATAATGTTCACCTAGTACAAGGCGCAAGAGCCACACAAGGTAGATGTTACAAAGAGGCAAAATTTATGGCGATATGTGAGAAAGATAACGGTTATGGTTAAACAGCTAACGATTGTCGTGATCAGGGAAGCACTCCCTGGGGAGTCGGTGCCACAGAGCTGCGGTTAGTGGGAAGAGGCTGCCTGAATAGAAATAAAGAAAAATGTAAGAGAAGGAATAGGAGAGAATTTTCACTTGTTTTTATACAACAATACAGTCGAATAGACAATATTATCTATCTATCTATCTATCTATCTATCTATCTATCTATCTATGTATCTATCTATCTACAGGGAGAAATGTTTAAGTAGCGTAGCTATGACAGCATCGAATCATCAATTACAGTGAATGGCTTAACGAATGCCATATTTCACGAAAGATGTGTAAAAGATGCCCAGATATACATTAATTTTATATATATATATATATATATATATATATATATATATATATATATATATCCAGGTAAAAGGAGAAATGAATCGTTCACCCCCAGTTTAACATCGCACGAGGAGACACATTTGTAATGTTGTCATAATTGTAATAGGATATCGATTTTAACATGCTTTTGTTTTTAATATCCTAAAATAAATTATATATATATAAAAAAAATTAATATCCTAAAATAAATTAAATATATATATATATATATATATATATATATATATATATATATATATATATATATATGTGTGTGTGTGTGTGTGTGTATATGCATATATATATATTGCCCTCAGCAGAATATTATTTGGTAAAGCTCGAATATCAGGATTAACCGCAGACCAATATGGCGGGTAATCAAATCCCTAATTTTTATGTAGAAACTAATTTAGCTGCCCTTTTTTTTCTGCAACATGGAGAGATTGTTGCGATATAAATCTAAATCAGGAGTGTGGTGTTTCGATGTAATTTCCGATAGAAAGGCCTTCGACGCCATTCACAACTGTCTGGATATCGAAAGCTGAAAGCAGACTGTCATTGTCTCTGGCAGGAGACGGGCATGCTGGCCGTGTAAAGACACTGGTCACTTTTCTGTAGTTTGCCCGGGGGAAAAAGACTCCTGTCGAAATACCGGTCACCGAACGTTGTGATGTCCTGCTAGCCATCCACCACAGTTGGACAAATATAGGTTGTAATAGCTTCGTTCACCGTCCTTGACAGTGAAGTACAATCACACCTTGAGACAAAACAGCGCCACTCAATCCCCTGACTTTTCTATTGGCAAAAAAAAAAAAAAAAAAAATGTTGTGGCCAAACGGAGAACTCTGAGGGAGCAGGAAAGGGAGCTATGAAGGTCTCAGTGGCGGGATCTT